CCTATTGACTGCTGTAATACAAATACTGTTGCAAGGAATATGTTGTGAAGGCATGTACGGCTGGACAGTGGGTACTTATGTAATTGGTGATTGCTAAAGAAGGTGTTTCCGTGCCAAACTTTCCCTAAAAAGGGAATTAATGTATGTGTAGTGATTGCTAAAATATAATTTTGCTCAGTGCAACCTCACCTGTAACTTGATGGTGGAAGTATTTGTGAGAATCTACAAAAAATAAGTGATAACAGATTCAATTAAATTATTACATTTCTAGTGTACAAATTAACAGGGCAGGAAGAAACTTCGATTGTGGTTCCAATTTCATCCCATCTTCTTAATTGTATGTGCAGTAACACCACACCTTGACATTTGCAAAGTGGCATCAGATCACCCTGAGTTTGAAATGTGATTCCTGGCTCATGATTATGTAAAATTAAACTGCTGCATAAGTGCATTGGGAATTTGACAGGACAACCCCTGCATCAAGAGACAAATAATTAACAACTTTATGAGTGCTTTCTGTTTTATTAAAAAGCATTACTTAGGATTAAGAAATAGTACTGTGTAGTCATACGTTTTGGTTTGTTGAGCCTATTTCTAGGTACTATTTTGAGCATTTCCATCAGCTGCATAGTTACCAGACTTAATAAAAAGGTATACTATAAATCACACTGAGTGTTAGAGCTGACAGCTGTAAATAAATACAGCTGACAGCTCAAATAGCTGTTCCATTGACAGTATGTGGTCTAAATGTGTTAACAAATGTGTAGACTCAGCAGTTTGGGATTAGTTTAGCAAATAAATTACAAAATAGCGCTGTGATCCAGCAAAAAGCACAATGCCTGTGTATCCCTGGTCTGCACGCTTTGTTAATACTGTAACAGGCCTGTGTAGCTCTGTGTGAAAATCCAACACTGCAGCTAGATGCAGGGGTCCTGCTAAGAGTATCATTCATCTCCCCTAGATTTCTGCTTAGTATGATGTCAAGGAATGTGAGCAACTATCTCAGTGTCATGGTGAGTAGAGATGGTTTAATAATAGATGTATTTGCTTTGCAGGATCAGAGATTTCTTAAAGGAAGGTAGTGACTTTACACTAGCTTTGGTTATGATTAAGGATATAAAAAAAAAAGCAGTAAAAAACTACTTTCATGCAAAACTTGTGATATTTAAATGTATTGATTGGTTTAATGTGTTTCATGGGAATGCCTAGAGTGTTGTTAGTAGCCTGGATCTGTAGTACGTGTGAAAGAAAATCTGGGAAGAAAGAATGAGGAAGGGGCTAGACAGTTAAAAGGATTTCAGCTCTGAAGAAGAATTATAGTATTGTGTTAATTATTTCCCTGCTGATCACAGCAAGAAATGAGAGAGAGAATTACATGAAGATTATGTCATAGTTTGACGTATTTAAGCATGGTATTTCTTATGCTTAGAGGCTGAATAAAGCCACTGTTTATTCTTTTATATTTTAATTTTAACTGTTCACAAGCAGGGTAACATGGCACAAAGTATTATGGGGTAAATAATATGAACATGAAATGGAACTCTGGAGACCTGGATTCCATTTAATGAAGTCACAGCATTCTGGTATTTTATAAAAAACTATTTTTATAGCTGTTGTGTCTAGTGAATAATTTTTAGTATACATGTACAAGTGGTAATTCTGATAGCTAGTTGCAACTTCTGTGGGAGTCTGTAAGCGTGATTGTCAGTAGTAGCTGATTTCTGAATGCACACTCTCATGTCAAATCTTTGTAGTGAATGCAGTTGATTACTGCAGCCCTTATTTCCATCCCATTAATTACATAGATGAGTATGGAAAGTAGCTGCTCTTT